CTACAACACAACACAACTGCAGCGTTACTTTTCTTTTAAAACATATGAATTTAGTTTAATTCATTTTCTTTAATAATAGTTTGGATAGTGGAGAATTCCAAGTGAGGTTGTTGCACCATATGTTCTCTTTTTCCCTTTATAGAAAATTTAATAATTTATTCACTAACTTGTGAATAAATGTTGTGAATAAATCATAAATATTGTGTATGCTACGATATAATGTCACTGATCATCTTGTACTTGTTCTACAACTGTTGTTATCACATCTACAACTAGTTTTGTGTTAAGAAATTAACGTGAACATGTTACTCTCCCTATTTCAGCCCAATTTCGATCTGTCGGGTCTCCACAGACCTCTTAAGCACTCCCTCTAAGACGTCGTAATTGCATCATAAATACCCATATTTCCCCCTTGTTTTCCCTATATACGACACAACACCCACTCCCCTCAACCCAACCCCCCTAAAGGATGTTGACCAGACCACACACTAGAAAGTGAAGAGACGACGACGTTTCGGCCGTCGACAATTCTCAAGTCACAATCGCCTTGAGAATGGTCCAGGACGGACCGAAACGTCGTCGTCCCTTCACTTTCTAATGTGTGGTCTGGTCAACATACTTCAGCCACGTTATTGTGACTCATCGCCCCCAAAAGGACACCCAGTGCCAACCTTCTTCCCTATTAACCTGTTCTACTCTTCAACCATCACCTGGTTGCTCCTGACACCCAATATCTCCACGTCTGGAACCATAGTCAATGCTGCCACCATCACCCCGACGATACACTCCACCCAAGACTGTCCTCGCTACTGAATTCCATTCCCCCCCCCCCCTCCCTCAACCACCACCACCACCACTGCTGTAACCATGACATGCCGCTGGTACAGAGTTAAACCCTCCGCTTTGTTTGACTATAATTAGTTTCATTCGCCTAATTAGGCAAATTATTCTGGCCCAAACATGTTGGTTCTGTTCTCTAACAAGTCTGTGTGTGTTAATTATTCTTCGCTTTCACTATCTAAGACTCAGACCTCAACAGGTCAGAAACTTACGTAAGCTTAAGCTTACGCTTACATAAGAGGGAAGGGGGAGACTGACGGCTGAGTTGGCAGCGCTCGGGATTCGTAGTCCTAAGGTTTCGGGTTCAATCCCCGGCGGACGCGGATCAAATGGGTAGAGTTTCTTTCATCTTGATGCTCCTGTTAACCTAGCAGTAAATAGGTACCTAGGAGTTAGACAGCTGCTACGGGCTGCTTCCTGGGGATGTGTAAAAAAAAGGAGGCCTGGTCGAGGACCGGACCGCGGGGGATGTAAGCCCTGAAATCATGTCAAGATAACCTCAAATTAGCTGTTAACACCTTTTGTGTAGGACAAGTGGCAGGACGGGCCCAGGTTCGAGGCCACGACGCCTCCGTATCCAGATCTTTCATTGTAGTTATTGTATATTAGGCAGTACAGCGGTGTACATGTGCGCCTCTGTTCTGACACACACACACAACGCACATGGCAGTAATGAGATGCACACATGCACAGCAGCCGTCAGACGAGGATTGTAGGATCCTCCAAGAGGACTTAAACAGGCTGAAGAGATGGTCAGGGAAATGGCTACTGGAGTTTAACACCAGTAAATGTAAAGTTATGGAAATGGGATCAGGTGACAGGAGACCAAAGGGACAGTACACAATGAAGGGGAACAGCCTACCTGTAACGATTCGAGAAAGAGACCTGGGAGTGGATGTGACACCTAATCTAACTCCTGAGGCACATATAAATAGGATAACGACAGCAGCGTACTCTACACTGGCGAAAATTAGAACTTCATTCAGAAACCTAAATGAGGAGGCTTTTAGGGCGCTTTACACTGCCTACGTGAGACCCGTCTTAGAGTATGCCGCGCCATCATGGAGCCCCCACCTGAAGAAACACATAAAGAAACTGGAGAAGGTTCAGAGGTTTGCGACGAGGCTTGTCCCAAAGTTACGAGGGATGGGATATGAAGAGCGGCTGAAGGAACTGAACCTTACGACACTAGAGAAAAGAAGGGAGAGAGGAGATATGATAGGGACATATAAAATACTCAGGGGAATTGACAAAGTGGAAATAGATGAAATGTTCACACGTAATAATAACAGAACGAGGGGACATGGGTGGAAACTGGAAACTCAGATGAGTCACAGAGATGTTAGGAAGTTTTCTTTTAGCGTGAGAGTAGTGGAAAAATGGAATGCACTTGGGGAACAGGTTGTGGAAACAAATACTATTCATACTTTTAAAACTAGGTATGATAGGGAAATGGGACAGGAGTCATTGCTGTAAACAACCGATAGCTAGAAAGGCGGGATCCAAGAGTCAATGCTCGATCCCGCAAGCACAAATAGGTGAGTACAAATAGGTGAGTACACACACACACACAGACGTCCTGGGAAACAGGAAGCTATTCCCTCCCCGAGTATGGTGCCTAGGAGCAGTACTCCAGCAGACACACCGTGGCAGAAGCAAGACCCGGAAGAGGGGTAATATGGTAGATCATACTGTAATCTAAAACAGTGCATAACATCACAGTCAAGCCGATCCATCAGCTGTGTACATCTTGCGTTGACCACCCGTTATGAGGCCTGGCTCACACTCAGGATATAATGGGAGGCTGAGGAAGAATGAGTTAACCACCCGTTATGAGGCCTGGCTCACACTCAGGATATAATGGGAGGCTGAGGAAGAATGAGTTAACCACCCGTTATGAGGCCTGGCTCACACTCAGGATATAATGGGAGGCTGAGGAAGAATGAGTTAACCGGCTTGACAGTAGAATTAGCCGAAATCACTGTTTTGGTTCGTGAAGAGCAAAATGGGTGAAGTGAAACTTGTGAGGCTTTCCACATCTTGTTTTCATTAGACAATTGATGGCAGAACCAAGATGGCTGCGGCTCGGAAATTGATTTGAGTATTTTTTTTTTACTATTTTTTTTAGCAAGGATGGAAGGTAATACAAATGTAATTTGGACCCAAACGAGATATGTCAACTGATGCATGATAGCGTTATAACAAGCTCACATGTGTAGATGGTTATCCTCTACATATGGCGCCTGGCAAGCCTCCATGTATATGGAGGCTTGCCTTATGGCAAGAATCCACTTCCTGCCATTCCTGCCATATGGCAAGAGTCCACTTCCAGTGTTAGCTTTATGGTGCGTGTACACCATAAACTACAGATAGTGCCAACATGGTGCCACAGGCGCGCACGCTATCTTACTGCATGCTGATATCTAAATTGCATAGATATCTAATGTAAGAATAGGAGGTTTAAGAACAGGAAAGTTGATTTTCAAGTTATATAAATACAGGGTGTGTGTATTTACACACTCTGTACTATACAATATACAGGATTACATAGCTGCTGTGTATATAATGGGATGTCATCCGTGCCAGGGACGTGACAGAGGGAGGGGGTAGTGACTGAGCTCCGCCACCCGGGGAGATGTGACTGATTACCTCTGGAAACACAGTTGAATTTGAATTGAATTGATGGTTGGCGAGATCACCTCCCAGTGAAGGCTGATCTCCCACTAGGCTTCCTGGGAGAGTTGAGGTGACGGGAGTGGGGTGGGAGTGCCATGGGTGGATGACGCAGCAATGGGGAGGAGAGGGAAGGAATGGTGGGTGGGGGGGGGGGCAGAGATGGGGAGACCCAGAAGGGGGTTTAGGAACCATAAGAAGGTAGAAGACACTGTTGCAAACTGAGGGGAGGAGTTAGAGGTAGATCAGGTAGATGTGTAGATGGGATGGATGTAGATAAGAGAGGCTGGAAGGCCAGGTAGATAGTCTACTTGTAGTGTGAGAGGTAGTGTTGGTGGGAAGGGGGTGAGAGAGTATTATAGAAACTCCTAATCACAATATAATGTATCGTACTGCACCACACATAAGCCCAATTGCTTATTACAACCCCCCGCCCCCCGGGGCACTCACTGGCGCCCCAGGGGTCGTCTTACCCCTAACAAGGCTTTTGACATACGTGTGTTAATAGGTGTTCTAGCACGAGTCACGTGACTGTCCAACACCCAGACTAAAGTGTTGGTGTTGAGAGCAGTTGTTGCAAGTTGCGCCCGGCAGTGCTGCCATCAATCTCTTTAATTCCTCGAAGCTAAGGTGTGTTAAGCTAAATCAATAATAGAGTTCAGTTACTGAGCCCATTTTGTGCCTCTGTTACCTTCCGCCACCAAGCTCACAGAATAGGGGGAGCTCACAGAATAGGGGGAGCTCACAGAATAGGGGAGCTCACAGAATACGGGGCTCACAGAATAGGGGGAGCTCACAGAATAGGGGGAGCTCACAGAATACGGGGCTCACAGAATAGGGGGAGCTCACAGAATAGGGGGAGCTCACAGAATAGGGGGAGCTCACAGAATAGGGGGAGCTCACAGAATAGGGGGGAGCTCACAGAATAGGGGGGAGCTCACAGAATAGGGGGAGCTCACAGAATAGGAGGAGCTCAGAGAATAGGGGCTCACAGAATAGGGTGGAGCTCACAGAATAGAGGGCTCACAGAATAGGGGGAGCTAACAGAATACGGGGCTCACAGAATAGGGGGAGCTCACAGAATAGGGGGAGCTCACAGAATAGGGGGAGCTCACAGAATAGGGGGAGCTCACAGAATAGGGGGAGCTCACAGAATAGGGGGAGCTCACAGAATAGGGGAGCTCACAGAATAGGGGGAGCTCACTGAATAGGGGGAGCTCACAGAATAAGGGAGCTCACAGAATAGGGGGAGCTCACAGAATAGGGGAGCTCACAGAATAGGGGAGCTCACAGAATAGGGGGAGCTCACAGAATAGGGGGCTCACAGAATAGGGGGAGCTCACAGAATAGGGGGAGCTCACAGAATAGGGGGAGCTCACAGAATAGTGGGAGCTCACAGAATAGCGGGAGCTCACAGAATAGGGGGAGCTCACAGAATAGGGGAGCTCACAGAATAGGGGGAGCTCACAGAATAGGGGGAGCTCACA